AATTGCACTCGAGAACCCGGCGTAATCACACAGGCAGTGGCTCAAACTGGCAACTGAAATCCAGGCTCTTAGCTCAGCGTCTCTGACCTCTGAGCCACCGGGCCACGCCGGTGGGGCCACGCATCCCACTGGGCCACGCGTCCCACTGGGCCACACCGGTGGGGCCACGCGTCCCACTGGGCTACACGTCCCACTGGGCCACACCGGTGGGGCCACGCGTCCCACTAGGCCACGCATCCCACCGTCTTTTCCCGTTGGCTGTAGGCTTGAGGCGCGCTCCACCTGCTGGCCGACGCTAGCCGAGCACTCCTCAGATCCTTTCAAGAGGTCACGGGAGAGAGAGAAAAGAACACTCTGCTTGCAGCAGCAGCTCCTGAGCGTGAATACGTCTTAAGTTGGTTTCGTCTGACCAGGTGAGCACTCAAGAGACCGCCACGAGTCTCGATTTCAGAAGTGACCTGGGTTGAGGCTGGAGGGGGTTGCCCCCCCCCCCCGTCTGATAAATGCTCAGCGGCCCCCCTTCTACATACTATAGGAGTCCGGTAAATCCTCGCTTAGCACGCGGTGTTCACGCGAAAACACGTTTTCGCTATAACGCAGTTCTTCGGTTTGGGAACACTTTTCGCACAAGGTGGAGCGCGCCCCGTTACAACGCGGAACACGCACGGTTATAACGCGGAACGCACACCGTTATAACGCGGTTTCTGAGCAGTCGACAACGAACTACTTTTTTGAGCTGTGCGGCTGAGTGGTACGATATGGTACGTGGAATGACACAGTAACGTGGCGGCAAACCTTCAGTTAATAGGCAAGCCATCTCACTGCGCGTGTGCGTAATAATACATCGTATTTCGCCAAACGTTATCTTTGTTTATGGGTAAATTATTTTTCGCTCAACGCATCTCTAGTTGAACGCGACACTTTCCAGGAACGCATTTACCGCCGCGTTAAACGAGTGATGGCTGTACCCTACAGACAATGGGAAAGACGCAGGAAATGGAAACAGAGAAGCGAAGGGCATCGAGTCGCCCCTCAGCCACTGAGGGGAGCGAGGGCGGAGAGCGCAAACAACGGACGATGCTGGCGCATTCCGCAGGGCGTCGCTTGACGCGAGCGCACACCCCGAACGCACGGCAGGTGGAGGGTTAGGACGCAAGAAATGGCACCCACGAGGTGATTACAAATAAAGGCGAGAGCGCAATCGGTTACAGAATTCTGGCCCTGGTTTCATGACCGTGCCAAGTATGTAACCCGGGGAAGCCTCACTGAGTCTCATGCATATATTGTTGTTTTTTCAGGAAGGTTCCTATATTGAGATGTTTGGCCAATCCCATTCGTGTTTTCAATGTGGGAAGAAGCCTGGAGTAGCTGGAGAAAGCCCCACGAGTGCGAGGAGACGACACTCTCAAAACTTCAAGAGGGCGATCGTGATGATGAAAACTAAAAAATGTCACGTTATTTCAATTTGTAACCGCGCGCACGGTATCCGCTCCTCGCTCTTGCAGAGGGAGTGCGTGAGATGACGACTCAGAGGCGCCAGGAGGAGGAGCCGTAGATGAGTGGAAAGGCAGCATCAACAGCCGGTGCTTCCTACAATTGCCCAAGCTCTGCGGTCCTCTGTATATCAATAAGTTATCGGCCAATTAGTGAGTGTTTATACATGCTGGATGAAACCGGAGCACCCGGAGCAAACTCACACATGCGAGGGGGCAACACTCGATCCCATACAGAAGGGACAGGTGGAGTCCACATTTTTGCTGTACCGCGTTCTCCTAGAAAGCCAGGGTACGGATCCTCCTGGATGCCCACGGGCTGCAAGCGAGTTTCACAGTGCGCGTGATCCACAAACCCTCGCTGCCACCTCCACAGCGCTGGATTACAGCACTGTGGAGATGTCAACTCCCTCGCCTGGTGTGCAGGAGGTCGTGGGCTCGATCCCAACCCTGACGCCTGCTGCTGTATATTTGGAGTTTGCGTGTTTTCTCTCCCCGTAGTCGCGTGAATTTTTTTCTCCATCTGGATCCTCCGGTTTTTATCTCCACATTTGTTCATTTATCGAATTCTTTTATACGTAGCTTTCACACAGAGCACCAGATACGCAAGAACGTAGAAATTAAACATCCGTTTAGATTATTGGCTGCTATAAAATCCCGTGCGATGATAAGCCAATTCGTTGAGATATAATTGTGGCCAGGTCGCTTCTGAAAAAGAAACTTCTTACTCAGTGGGCTTTACCTGGTAAGATAAAATTATCTTCTTGGTTCTTTCGGTAAAGTCACGTAGAAGGAAAATAATAAAATAATAAAAATACAACATAATAAATTGTATTTTATTATGTTTCATTTTTATTATAATAAATAGCATTTTATTATGTTTTATTTTTATTATTTTATTACTTCCCTGCTACGTGACTTTACCGAACGAACCAGGAAGATGAATCCCTGCAGTCACGAAAGCTTTAAATCGAAAGATAAAATTAGTTTCATTTTATTTCTATAAAGTAAGTACAACTACTCTCTTTCATCAAACCCTATGTATTTATTAACATTATGCATGTTTATAAAGAGTGCAGGCTCGAGTCATGAATTTGATGACTTCAGACTCGACTTGGACTTGCATAACAATGACTTTGTCCCACCTCTGGGACTATTCATCTCCACACGATGAGCTGCATTGCAGAGCTATCATTTGTGGCCAGGTCGCTTCTGAAAAATAATCTCATAGGTCAGTAGACTTTACCTGTTCAAATAAAAATAGTTTAATTGTATTTTAATATTTTTTGTTTTTTTCGGTAAAGTCACGTAGATAGAAAAAATAAAAATAAATAAAATAAAAATAAAAGCTACGACGTATCGATCACAACACAAGCGCTCGCATAATTTATTTTTATTTTAGTTACTTTTATTTTTTTTATCTACGTGACTTTACCGAAAGAACCAAAGAATATTATTTCCTGCAGTCACGAACGTTTTAAGTCAAAATGTATTTGTATATGTTTTAAGTGATTTGTTTACCTTCCCTATCCGTGGCACCGTCGTGTTGTTTTGTATTGTTGTAATGTTCTGACCCCGGACTCCCCGCTGGACATCTGTGGCAACAAATCTCTTTATAGCTCCTCGGATTGTTCCAGTACAAATAATAAAGATACCGATTCTGAAATCCGGAGGTCGTCGGTTCGATTCCATCTCCCGGCGTTGTCAGCGAAACCATGGGGGCGAGTTTCTCAAATGCTCCCTCCCCCTCGTGTCGTCCCTGGCGCCGCCCAGCAGCAGCAGCAGCGTGAGTGTGCGGTGGGGTAAAGCGTGGGTAGCTCGTGCTCCCTCCATGACGCCTGGCCAACGTTGAAGAGGAGGCTAAACAAAGAAGTAACCCCCGGAGAGCGGCTCTCCTTGAGCTGCATTCCACCACCTGCAGTGGCTTGAGGAAACCATTGCAGGGCTGCGTCTTTGCCGAATAAGAGATTGTCTTGGGGCGCGGATAAATGTTTCATCGTCCTGCATTTACACGTACAGTACAAAGAGGACACCATGGTTACATCAACTCAGAAAAACCCCAACGCAGCCCCAGATCCCTTGGGAGCTGCGGTGCGCCCCCCCCCCCTCTCTCCCCGCTGCTCTCACCTGGGCTGAGACCTCTGCCGAGCTGGTAGCACGGGCTGGAGGTACCGGCGCCTGAGCTGCTGCTGCTGCTGCCATGGACGAGGCGAGGTGAGTCTCTTACCTGAAACGACTGCTAACTGGCGGGTAAAGAGGTCTTTATCCCTTTGTGTTCACCCACCCATTTAGTCATCCACCCATTTAGTCATCCACCCATCCACCCATCCAGTCATTCGCCCGTCGAGGTGTTTATGAATCTACCCACTCACCGATCCATCTGCTTCGCCATTGAGGTGGCTGTCCACCAATTTAATGCATCCGTCTACCCACTCATCCATCTATCCATCGATCCAACCACTAATCCATCCGTCCATCTAGACATTTATGTGTCTGTCTTTCCATCAATCCATACACCCATCCATTTATCAATCAATATATATATATATATACCTAGGCACCGATCCAACCACCCATTCTATCATCTGCATGTAATGGTGGTCGTCATCATAATCACGAAGGACTGCCTACGTCGATTAATTTATGCACCCATCGATCCACCCACTAATTAATCCATCTAGCGAAACATCTATCTAAGAGACTAGGCTAATCAGTTTCATCGACAATGCATATATTATCAGAGTATGTTTTTTGTTTGCATTCTGACCAGAAGTTGTGTGATTAATGCAGACATGATTCCTTGTAAAAGGTTTCAGTTTGGTGTTTTAACATCTTAACACCTATTTTGTTGCCAGAAAAAAGGGGAAAACCTATTCTCATATTTTGGTACTGGCAAAGGAGGTCCCATGAACTATCTACCCACCCATCCACTGATCCATCAACACAGCCATTCATCTATCCACCCACACACCCATCCAACCACATATCAATCTATCCATCCACACACCCATCCACCACGAATCAATCCATACATCAAGATATGCATCGATCCACCCACCTACTAATCAATACATCCATCTGGCTATTCATCCATATATCCACTCAACCACCCACTAATCAATACATCCATCTGACTATTCATCCATATATCCACTCAACCACCCACTAATCAATCCATCCATCTGGCTATCCACCCACACACCCATCCACCCACTAATCAATCCATCCATCTGGCTATTCGCCTACCCACCCACCAACCCACCCAGGCATTCATCTATCTGCACCTGTACCGTGTCTGCTGCCAGTGTTGCGCACATCAACGTTGTGTCTTGGTGTTGCATCTCCCCATTCTCCCCGAGTCCCTGAACCCGACATTCACCCCCAGGTGTTCTTCATTATTGATTAAAAGAAACTGTACGATAACGATAATAACGGTAATAACGGTAACAACGATAACGACAATAACGATAACAACGAAAACGACGTTAATGATAGCAATACTCTCTGGTTTCTTCGGTAAATTCACGTAGGTATAAAATAAAATAAAAAATAAAACACACGTTTCGATTGCAACAAAAAAAAATGCTTGTTGTGGTTTTCCCACCTGATGATGATTGCTTGTGTTTCAATCGAAACGTCGTGATTTATTTTTTATTTTATTTCTACCTACGTGACTTTACCGAAAGAACCAAAGAATATGGATTCCTGCAGTCACGAAAGCTTCAAATCTTGAATGATAGCAATGATAGCGATAATAACGATAAAAATAAGAACGATAACAACGATAACGACGATAGCAACGATAACGATAGCAACGATAGCGACAATTACAATAACGATAATAATCATAACGATAATAACTATAACTAAGATAATAATAACAACGATAAGAACGATAACAACGATGAGAACGATACTAACGATCATAACGACGATAATAACGACGATAACTATGACGACGATAACAATAACGATAATTATAATAATGCTCATCACGACGATGACCGAGCGTCGCGTGTGCAGCAGCAAGGCGGCAGGCCGGAGACCCTTCGCCCTCGACCCCACGGGCGACCTCTACAACCGCTGGCAGGTCGTCTCCTGCGCCTTCACGCTCTTCAACTGGTTTACCATCATCTGCAGGTAACGCTCATCGCCGTCATCCAATTCATCGCCGTCATCTTTATCGCCGTCATCTTCATCGCCGTCATCATCATTGTTGTCATCATCGCCGTCACCGTCAACATCATTGTTGTCATCAACATCATCGCTGTCATCATCAACATCATTGTTGTCATCATCAACATCATTGTTGTCATCATCATCATCATTGTTGTCATCATCATCATTGTTGTCATCATCGTCGCCGTCATCATCTTCGCCGTCATCATCAACATCATTGTTGTCATCATCATCATCATTATTGTCATCATCGTCAGCGTCGTCGTCGTCGGCCCTGGTCTATCCGCCATCTCTCATCCCCAGCAGGCAGATGGCTGTTTGCAGTCCGGTGCTGCGTGCGCCGCGCACCTTGCGACGCACAGGGACAGCTGCCGCTGGGGGGGGAGAAGGGGGTCCCTCTTGGCTATGTACAGTATATTGAACTTCTTTCACACCGTACGTAGCCAACCGTGCTAATATTAGGTGCGGGGGAAGGACAACAAACTAAACACACAAAAACAGTTCTAATGAAATAAGTTTGTAAATCTAAATTTCAAAGTGCTTAGCTCCAGTGGTTTCAAGAAAGAGCGTTGCATACGGCCGCAGAAGCGCATCTAAAAACGCCACGCGGTGCCGTGGCCGTGTTTGTTCGATGGTTAGACAAACGCCGCTGCTGCGAGGATGACCAGAGTTCACGTGAAGATGGTTTATGCTCCTTGACGGCATCAGCGAGGTATTGTGGTTCAGTGGTGGCAAGCACTTTGTGTGTAACGAGCACGACCTTATCAAGGTGCAAATGGCGGGATCAATTCCAGAGCGAGGGTGGCTGTCGCTGGAGAACCGCACCGACCCAGTTCGCGCCCCCGCGCTGGTGAGGCAGCTCCCCGCCCTCCCCGGCAGCTTGTGCTCGACGCGGCGCGCCAGCAATTGCGAGTTTGCCGTTTGCCGTTCCCGTTCTCCATCATTCACCGTTACCATTCGCCGTTTACCGTTCACTGTTCGCCGTTGTCTATTCGGAATTCACCGCAGAGCTTCGTGGCTCGAATCCTGCGGTCGCCCCATTGAACACCGCACGTGCACCACGGTATTCACCATTTTACCTAAAAAAAAATGTTGTCTGTGTGTGTGTGGACACACCTTGTGACGCTTTAAACTGACAAACTGCTGGGTTTACGTTTCAACAAACTACACACATACAATGCAATATGCCCCTGGATAGCCCTCGGCAAGGTAAGGTAAAAGTTAAACGGTAAAAAAAACAAGACTACCTTTACCCTACCTTTTACCTTACCACAATACAATCGCTCTACCCTACCTTTTACCCTTTAGCAGGTAAGGTAAAATGTCAAAAGCAACAAGCCTACCTTATACCCTTATCCCATACAAATTACCCGATTACAGGGAAATTACTGGGGTACAACACATGAAAAAGGTTTATATTGATAAATGCTAGGTAGAGCGCTTTATTCATATAGAATACTCTGGAATCGGGCGTTGAGGCTGTCGACGACACCGTCCTCCATAACCTCCTCGTCCCAGTCGTCTTGGTCGATGGCGATCTCATCAACAACCTGATATATTCATCATTGCCATCGTCCTCGGACGAACGACAGGCAATAAGATCCTGCGCCGCTATGGCCCAGTTAGACGGAACCTTCAGGCAGCCGACGCCGACATCCCGACCTCGCTGCCTGGGGCGAGCGCATTGTGTTCTTGAGGTGGGCTTTCCACCCCGACGCGTTCGTGTGGGTGGAAAACCACTTGCGACAGTGCACGCACTGCCGTTTCCCTTGCTGTACATGGGGATCACCCTCCATCCAATCGTGCGTGTGCTCCCACGGGAACGCATGCCGCTGCCTCTTTCGATTGCTGTTCGCAGCAACCCCAAAAATGCCGTTGCTGGCATCCTCGACCTCGTCCTCTAGTACCTCTACCTCAAGAACGTGGACCGTCTCCATCTGGTCCGACATCAATTATCACAATTAAAAATGGAGGCCACGGACTGCGCCACGAAGCCTTTAGCGGTAAACAAGGTACCGTATAATCTTCTTGGTTCTTTCGGTAAAGTCACGTAGAAGGGAGATAATAAAATAATAAAAATAAAACATAATAAAATAATACAATTCTCACGACGTTTTGGCCACAGCACAAGCAGCCGTCCTCACCACTCTCCCATTGACATATTTCGTTGCTTCCTCTTAGTACATTTCACGCGACGGTCAATGGTATAGTGTATAGCAGATTGTATAATAATAAATAGTATAAAAGTGTAATGTTTAATATAATGTATATATAGTATCGTAATTGTATAGTGAATATACAGCAGTGTGATATACAGTAGGGTGGGTAGAATAATACATAGTGTAATATTACAATGTATAGTCTAATGTATAGGGTGGTGTATAGTAATGCAGTATATAATTTAATGTTGGATTTGTCTATGGCAGTATATAGTACGGGGTAGATCCGTGTGATGTAAGGAAAAAGTTTAGCTGGAGGCATATTATATTTTTTGCGACGTAGAATTGTAATGTATGACTTACTGTTAGTAGCTCAGCTTATTGGAGAGTATTTTTAGTATATTGATGATATTGATGTAGTTTATATTTTCGTTTTTTACGTGGTGGTTTAGCTGCTACAGCTCCTTACTATTAAAATTCCTTCCCTTTATTACTGCTAACCCTACCTCCTCCCTTTGTTGCTGCTAATCCTACATAATGCACGGGCATAATATGACTTTGAGACCCTCTCCCCTCCTACGCATTCCACAAGTAGTGACTAATCCCATATCTGCATTTTCCATAAATATGCTAAATTCATCTGTTGATATGCAAATTCCTTTGTCAAGGCGCTCTTCCTCCCCTAAACCACCTTAAATATACGCTGCCAAGCTTGGTGGTGTTCATTCAGACGCTGTCTTTCCAACAGACCTGTTCTTCACCTGAGGACGGCTGCTTGCGTTGTGGCCGAAACGTCGTAAGAATTGTATTATTTTATTATGTTTTATTTTTATTATTTTATTATCTCCCTTCTTCGTGACTTCATCGAAAGAACCAAGAAGATGAATCCCTGCAGTCACGAAAGCTTTAAATCGAAATAAAAGGTACCGTATTTACCGGGTCATTATTCGCGCTACCTTTACCCTACCGGGTAATTCTTCTGAGCTACCTTTACCCTACCCTTTACCTTACACCTTGGCATGTCGAAACCTTTACCCTTTAACCCGGTAAAAAAGGTAATTTACCTTACCTTGCCGAGGCCTACCCCCGGACGAAACATTGATATTTGTTTTTCCCATCCATCAAATGTGAATTAGATAAATTAATATTTTTTTAATGTTATATTACTACGCTGAGGGCGGCGCCAAAGCACGCATCTGCGAATGCTCAGCAAATGCTGACCTGTCGTTGCCCCGAGCAATGCACACGCTATCGGTGGGGACGGGGGTGGGAATTATCATTCGTATTCAAAATGCAACAAAAAAACACAACGCTGAGGTAAATTCTTCAAAGTGTGATGTCGTCTTCTCCCCCCCCCCCCCCAAATGTACGCAGTTGCTACGATAGAGTCGGTAGATACTACTACTATAGTCCGTAAATAATATTACTGTAGTGTGGGCGTGGGGATGGTGGGGGGGGGGGTAGCAGCACAGCCCCAGCCGGCCAAGGTGCCACCTCGGCCAGCTGGGCAAGCTAGGCGAGGCCGGGGGTTCTGCATGGGACTAGGCCTTACCACGGCACTCTGTTAAGTTAGTAGTTAACTGCTAAAGAGACGATAGATACTATTATAGAGTCGGTATATATGACTATAGAGTAGGTAGATACTACTGTAGAATAGGTAGATACTACTGTAGAGTTTGTCGTTACTGCTACTGTAGAGTGGGCGGTGGAGGGGGGTGTAGCAGCCCAGCCCCAGCCTGCCAAGGTGCCACCTCGGCCGGCTGGGCAATCTAGTCGAGGCCGGGGGCTCTGCACAGGACTAGGCCTCAACACGGAACTCTGTTAAGTTAGTAGTTAGCACTATAGAGTCGATATATACTATTGTAGAGTTGGTATATATGACTATAGAGTAGGTAGATACTACTATAGAGTTAGTAGATACTACTACAGTCAGTAGATACTACTACAGTCTGCAGATACTACTATTTAATCTGCAGATACAGCTATAGAGTCAGCAGATACTAATATAGAGTTAGTTACTACTATAGTGAGTGGATACTACGATAGAGTCAGTAGACACTAATATAAATTTTGATTTAAAGCTTTCGTGACTGCAGGGATTCATATTCTTGGTTCTTTTGGTAAAGCCACGTAGAAGGGAAATAATAAAATAATATAAATATAAAACAATAAAATTTTCACGACGTTTCGACTGCAACACAAGCAATCATCAGCAGGTGTGAAATTTTCTTGCTGTGGATTCCACACCTGATGATGATTGGTTGTGTTGCAGTCGAAACGTCGTGAGAATTTTATTGTTGTATATTTTTTATTATTTTATTATTTCCCTTCTATGTGACTTTACCGAAAGAATCAAGAATATAAGATACTAATATAGTCAGTATATTCTGCTGTAGAGTCGGTAGGTACTGCTATAGAGTCAGCAGATACTGCTATAGTCAGCAGATACTACTATAAAGTTAATAGTTACTACTATAATCAGTTGATACTACTTTAGAGTCAATAGATACGACTATAGATTCAGTATATACTACTACAGTCATTAGATACTACTGTAGAGTCAGTATTTACTACTATAGAGTCAGTTGATACTACTATAGAGTCAGCAGATACAACTATTGAGTCAGTAGATACTACTGCAGTCAGTAGATACCTATACATTCAGGAGCTACTACTATAGTCAGTAGATACTACTACGGTCAGTAGATACTACTATAGAGTCAGTAGATACTACTGTAGTGTTAGTAGTTACTATAGTCAGTGAATACGACTATAGATTCAGTAGATACTACTGTAGAGTCAGTAGATACGACTACAGTCAGTAGATACTACTATAGTTAGCATATACTGCTACAGAGTCAGCAGATACTACTATCGAGTTAGTAGTTACTATAGTCAGTGGATACTACTACAGTCATTAGATACTACTGTAGAGTCAATATTTACTACTTTAAAGTTGGTTGATACTACTATAGTCGGCAGATACTACTATAGAGTCAGATACGACTACAGTCAGTAGATACCACTTACGTCAGGAAATACATACTGCTACAATCAGTAGATACTACTATACAGTCAGTAGATACTACTACGGTGAGTAGATACGACTATAGAGTCAGCAGATACTACTATAATTTCAGTAGGTACTACTATAGTCATTAGATACTACTGCATAGTCAATAGTTACTACTATAGAGTCAGTAGATTCTGCTATAGAGTTAGTAGTTACTACTATAGAGTTAGTCGTTACTACTGTAATGTGAGGTTACACTTGGATGATAATGATGGGCTCTCCCGGCCTCAGCCCACAACCAATGGGGAGTCGAGCCAGGGGCGTGGCCCTGATGTAATGGGAAGGTTACACCTGGAGGATGATGATTGGCTCTGCTGGCTTCAGCCCGCAACCAATGGGGAGTTGAGCTAGGGGCGTGGCCCTGGAGCTGTACAGTGGCTTCTGGAAAGTTCCAGGGGTGTGGCTGAGGATTGGCTGCGGGGCATCACGTGGGCCAGGGATTAAAAGGGGCGGAGAAGGACAGCACGTGGTCAGTGTGCGGAGGAACGAAGAGGGAAGCCACGCTGGTGCCGTGGTCCGGAGCCTGCCACGTGGCGGGCCGCGGCAGTCTCTCTCCTCTCTCTCTCCTCTCATGCTGTCTGCCAACAGCGTGAAGGAGCAGTAGAAGTAGAGGAACCGATGTAGTGAGAGCTGTGGACGAAACTTAATAAAGATTTCTGAATTCCCGACGTTGTCTCAACGGGGTTTATTACACTACTATAGAGTCGGTAGATACTACTGTAGAGTCAGTAGGTACTACTACGGTCAATAGTTACTACTACAGTCAGTAGATACTACAGAGCAGAGTAGATACTACTGTACAGTCAGTCGATACAACTACAGAGTCAGCAGGTACTATTATAGATTCAGTAGATACTACTATAGAGTCAATATATATTATTATAGATTCAGTAGATACTATTATAGAGTCAATAGATACTACTATAGAGTCAGTAGATACTACTGTAGAGTCAGATACTACTGTAGTGACTGTGATTGTCACTGTGTGGTGCCGGGTTTATGAAGCCACGGCGGATAATGTGTTGGCATTATGTGTAGCCCACTTACTGGGCGTAGTACCAGCCCTAGTGGGGCTTGGGTGAGCGCTGGTCAGCGCGGAGGCACCACGTACAGTGTGCGGTGCGGGCTCCCGGTGAGGGAGCGAGAGGGAGCGTCAGCCAGCCAGGGTTACGTTGGGGCATGATACGCTGATTGACCTGCTGACACGCGACTGGATGATATTGGAGGGGGACCACCGGTGGACGGGGGCCGCTGGGTGGTCATGTGGTCTAAAAGAGCTCTCGGGGAGCCTTTTGGAAAGAGCTCGAGAGATCTAGAAGATGGGCGGGGTGAGAGGCGGAGCAGCCCCAGCCCAGGCCGATATAACGAGGGCCCCGTGAAGGACTCCGGGTTCTTCGTGTTGCTGTTGATGAAAATCCACGTCGGGTAAAAGGAGCCTTTAGCTACGCGGTCTGGGACCCAGCTTGTGGTCCGGGCCGGGATAGCGAACCGTGTCTAGTTCTGCCGTAGCGTGGCTAGATGAGCATTCAACAGCCAAGTGTAGGTTGTGTTATGTTATGTTGATTTATTGAATAAATAGTTTTGCTCCCAAGACAACGTCTGCGACTCAGTTGGACTCACTACACTACTATAGAGTCACTAGATACTACTCACTCTATTGTATGTAGGGTGTATAGGTATATATGCCTACGTGGGGGTAAAACAAATTTTTGAGGGGGGTGGGCGACAATTTTCGTAAACCTTTAAGATCAACTATTTACCCCCCACTTTCTATAACTTTTTGAACTTTTGCAAGCCTCTTAGAATTTTGTTGACGGACAAATGGACAGACAAACGGCACGCCGGGCTTTCACACTAGCTTAGTATTTGTATCTGTATATGCTATGTTTTTAAGAAAAGTTTTGAAATATATTTCCCCCCCGGGCAATGCCGGGTACTTCCCGCTAGTACACAATACTATGCTTCACGGTGCACTCTGAACATGCCGTGACGCCGTCCGCGTGCTGGCGTCATGGTCCACATTTTGCCAAATTACAAAAATATTACACACCGCGAATTGCTCAATTGGGATTATGCAGCAGAAGTCTCCGCTCCACCCGCTTCCTCAAAACCTTGGCAGGACCTTCCTGAGCGAGGTATTGTGGTGCATTTGTGGCAAGCACTTTGCAAATCTGTCAACCATATTACAGATCAATTCAGACCTTATTGGTCACCCCGTGCCCTTATAAATCTCAACGTTCATCCTACAAAGTCCCGCCAGAAGGGAGAAACACAAACAAATAGACACAACTTATTGCCCGTATTGAAACGGCTGTACGCCGTATGGACCTAAAAACTAAATTTCCCTGTATGAGAATACGGGGCAAACCGTGTGGTTTAACAGGTATGGCTCAGTGTATAGTGAGCGCGACCTTGCAATGTGTTCATTCGACAACCAGAAGCCAATGCAGCTCAGCGAGCACCGGACAATCACGGTCGGATTAAGCAGTGCCCGTCACGACACGCGACAGAGAGTTGTGTACACGCTGCTGCAGCTTGCTAATGTTTTTTGCCAGACGTCTTGTAGAGTATCAATTTGCAATAATCGAGACTTGTCGGTAATAGAGCGCAGCAGGGCAATGGAATTGTGGACGCGAGGTGCGAGGCGTTTTTCGTTGCTGGAGCGTAGTGAGCCAGCGCCGCTCTATGTCGTCTGCTCCCTCCGCTACTCGAGCAGCAAAATGTTTGGCGTGGGGGTCCATGGGGGCCCCCCAAAGCTCTAGCAGTTCGCCGTCAAGGTTCAGCGCGCTAGAGCGACGGCACCGCCAGTGACCGTGCGACCCACGTCCCACGTGTGTGCGTTTGCATGCGTGTCTGTGTGCGTGGTCTGTGTGTGTGTGTGTGGTGTGTGTGTGCGCGGTGCGTGCGTGATGCGAGCGTCGTGTGTGCATGGTGTGTGTGGTGTGTATGTGTGCGTGGTGTGTGTGTGTGCATGGTGTGTGTGTGTGGTGTGTGTGTGTGCATGGTGTGTGTGGTATGTGTGTGTGTGCGTGGTGTGTGTGTGCGTGTGCGTGGTGTGTGTGGTGTGTGTGTGTGCGCGGTGCGTGCGTGATGCGAGCGTCGTGTGTGCGTGGTGTGTGTGGTGTGTGTGTGTGTGCAGAGTGAGCTTCATGGACGTGCAGGTGCAGTTTCTGCCGGTGTGGCTCACCCTGGACTATGTGTCGGACGCTGTCAACCTGGTGGACATGGTGTTCCTGAGCAGGACAGGTGCGCGTAACCCGGGGAGGAGGTCTGAGGAGTCGCGATGTGAAGCAAGTGTTCCGGTCTTCACGTCTCGTGATTTTGACCGTCCCGTTTGCGTTGTTCCTCGTTTGTTCTGTCTCGTTTGTACAGAATTGTTCCTCCACAATCCGCGTGTAATTTGCATGCGTCCTAAATGCTTCACGCCCCCCACACGAGCGGTGAGGCTATCGTGAGAGTGAGAATCAGGCGGGCAGACAGGGAAAGACGAAACATAAAACAAATGGAACCGGATGGAACGAACGGAACAGACAGTTGCATTGAACGAGCAAAACATGGAAGGCACAGACGAACACACTCATTTGCACGGAATACAACCGAACCGTTTTTGCTAAAATTAAATGGCATTTGAATGTTGTAAGCTCCCATGGATCAGTGTGTGTACACGTAATTTACCTGAGGATGTGTTTGCTTCTTCACGTCTGTTCATGCAACGGTCGACATCTCTCCAACGTGCGCCGGGCACCAGAGCGTGGAGTGCGATCTACAACCGCAGTGCGACGACTCCGCTGCAGGGCAGCCACCGCGCGGCATCGTAGCCCCGTGTTGGCGCAGCATCGATGATAAATTTGGCTTCCAGCGAAACGAGAAGTGACAGACGTGTAATATTCTTTTTAAGAAAAATACCGCTAGAAATGTCAGGTCGAGACAGACACAAGGGGAGTGACATAAATATGTTATGGATAGCATCAGGGTACACAGCAAGAACATTAATGAGAATAGTTTGAAGAAAGGCGAAGTTAAATTTTTTGGACGTGCCATGAGAAAGCAAGAGACTGAATGTGAATGCGTTTTGACTGGGAACACAACAAGGCCCAAGAAGGCGGGGAAGACAGAAAATTAAGTTACGTGAACAATTCGGATGATTGGATTCTACTGCGAGGAATAACCAATGCAGAGTTTGTCTGTGAACATCACGCACGGAGTTGAAGTGAAGCAAGACCACGATCCGTGATCACCGACGTCTTTGAGAAAAGACGTGGCTCACAGACGGAAAGATGGACAGCTGACTCAGGGGTCAGAGGTCAGAGCCAGCACCAATGAGATCCTGGGGTCAAGACGGACGGACAGCGGTAACGCATGAACGCTCTTGACGTTAACAGGAGAGTGTTCTCTATAATAGGAGAGTGTTCGTGGGTCCAAACCCATCGCAACCCAGCACCTCCGATTAGCACGGTTGGCTACATACGGTGCGAAAGAAATTAAACATCCATACATCGTACATACACCGTACGTACATACAACAGAAAATCAGCGCGCGGGCCCCCGTGTGCCACAGGCTTCATGGAGTGCGGGCTGCTGGTGACGGACGTGGACCGCATGCGCCAGCACTACGTCCGCTCGTCACGCTTCCGCCTCGACGCGCTGGCGCTCATCCCCACCGACCTCCTGTACGCGTACACGGGCGTGCACTACCCCGTGGTGCGTCTCAACCGCCTGCTGCGCTTCCCTCGCATCTTCGACTGCTTTGATCAGGTCCGGCACGAGCTGCCCCACGTTCACAGGGAGCACCTGTGGTTGGGTTCACGTGGAGGTGGTGGGTAGGTTCATGTGGAAATGGTGGCTTGGTTAATGTGGAGGTGGTGGCTGGGTTAATGGGGAGGTGGTGGCTGGGTTAATGTGGAGTTGGTGGCTGGGTTAATGTGGAGTTGGTGGCTGGGTTCATGTGGTGGTGGTGGCTGGATTAATGTGGAGGTGGTGGTTTGGTTAATGTGGAGGTGGTGGCTGGGTTAATGGGGAGGTGGTGGCTGGGTTAATGTGAAGGTGTGGGCTGGGTTAATGTGGAGTTGGTGGCTGGGTTAATGTGGAGGTGATGGCTGGGTTCATGTGGAGGTGGTAGCTGGGTGGCAGTCATTAGTGACACTTGAGAGCCCGGTTTAATCATGGGTGGCTGAAACCTGAATTAGAATCCAGCATTCTCAAAGGTGCCGGCTCAACGCTTTGACCTCTGAGCCACCCAGTCATCTCGTCAGTTCCTATAATTACAGAACAAAACAGACCCCGTACCACCACTCCCTCTCACCACCCCCAGGACGCGTACCGCGGTGTTGCATTGTGGGTGAAAGTGAGGTGAAGCCGAACTCGAGTCTTCCAGCGTACACGGCGGGTTTACGAGTCCCATGCGCACATTTGTGCTTCCAGACAAACATCGTCGGGCGGCACTTGACCACACCTGGGAAGCTGAAACCGGTCCAGGCTTTGCCTGCCTGACGTTGGTGTGAAAAGTCAAGGGACTGGTTACATATAACCATGCTTATTTACACATGGAAACGGGATGCAGATCTGGTGATATTTACAACACATTTGCTCAGGAAAGGGGGCGTATTAGAGCCCCCTATGGCTTAGGCCAGGGGTGGGGAAGGTCCGGCCCGCGGGCCACAAAAGGCCCGCAAAATCATTTAGTGTGGCCCTGCCAAGGCAACCGCAGGCGGGACTCGAAATTCAATAAATCTTGGAGCAAACCTGGAAAAGCAGCTGCGAATAGCAACATCATCAATACCAGCTAACATCACATGCCTCACCAAAGAGAAGCAGTTCCAGCCATCACATTAGGGGTGAGTTAATTAAATGTTTGACCAAATATAACACACTCATTTTAAAGTTGATAATTTTGTATGGCCCGCGAATGATGTTATAAATATCCAAATGGCCCTTGGCAGAAAAAAGGTTCCCCACCCCTGGTTTAGGCGCTTCTACCATCGGTGACGTGAGCAGGCAATTGCAGGGCTGCACCTTTGATTCGTGTTCACCCCCCATCACCACCACCAACCCAACTGACCGGCCCCAGGTGGAGACACACACCAACTACCCCAAGACATTCCGCATCATCAAGCTGGTGGTGTACATCTACCTGATGGTGCACTGGAACGCCTGCTTCTACTACCTGCTGTCCGCCTACATCGGCTTTGGGCAGGACGGCTGGGTGTACCCGGCCCATGAGACGCCGGGCTTCGGCGGCACAGGCCGCCAGTACATGTTCTGCATCTACTTCTCCACGCTGATCCTGCTCACCATCGGCAACATCCCCAAGGCGGAGCGCGAGGCCGAGTTCCTCTTCGTGGTCGTCGACTTCCTCATCACCATCTTCGTGTTCGCCACCATCCTGGGCAACGTGGCGAGCATCTGCGCCAGCGTAAACGAGGCCGGCGACAAGTTCCTGGCCGAGTTCAACGAGGTCAAGGACTTTGTGCGCTTTCGTGCCATCGGGAAGGACATGGACCGCAAGGTGGGGGCCGGCGGGCAGTGCACGGGCGTGCGCATGTGTCCGTTGAACTTCCTTCAAGCTTGGTTAGATTATTTCCACGTAGTTTTGTGGTAATTAAATTGAAGGTGGAGGGGTCACCAGCCCCTTGCACCCGTCCAGAGCCCCCATTGGCCGCTGTGGTGGCCACAAACACCATGAGGGGAATAGCCAATTGAAATTGGCTATTCCCCCCAATGGCATTGCTCACCACAGCGTTACCGTCCAGCACCACGGAAGAGGTCGGGGCTTGCTTTTCCGGACCAACAATGCATTTCGCTTGGCACAAGTGCCACGATGACGTCACCGCCACTTAGTGCTGAATGGTGGTTGTTGTTGTTTTTTAACTTTCTTCGCACCGCACGTAGCCAACCGCGCTAATTAGAGTTGCGGGGGGAAGGACTACAAACTAAACACGTGAAGCAGTTTTAAACAAATTAATTTGTCAATCTAGATGATATGAATGTACGTAGCTCCCAGTGGCTTCCTAATATCGGAAGGAAGAGCGTTCCAGACGGCCACAGAAGCGCATTTGAAACCGCCAGGCGATGATGCGGTGACCGAAGCTCTCGATGCCGCGTTCGTCAAAATCTCCGTGGCCTTCAAACTGGAAAAAATTTGGGCAGCACATAAATAAAGAGGATAGAGAGAGAGTGGATGAGAGTTGACTTTATTTTCGGCATCGTGCGGTTAATAGCAGCAGCAGGAGCTAGATGTCTGCATGTATGTTTGTTGAACTTTTTTCGCTCCGTACGTAGCCAACCGTGCTAATCGGAGGTGCTGCTGTTGCTGGCACCATGAGAGGGCTTCGACAGAGTTCGTGTCGCTTTGCTCTCCCTCCTCCTCCGAGATGAGAGTTGAATAAGACTGCACTTGACACATGATGCCTGATGATAATTTATTTTAAAAAACGCATTTCCCGATGAGCAAATTTCAATTAGGCGTGCGAATAGTTACCCATCGGTAACCATTGAGTAACAAATACACCCTTCAATGATAAAAACATACGCAAATTATTTGATGACGTTGCTGCCACACTAGCAGTGGTGCACAAACTCAGCTGTGAGTAAGCACGGTGTGGCCGTGAGGACTCGGAATCTTCACAGAGTCCATGCGACGAGACACTCGGAGTGATGGTGCTGCCACAGGAGGTGCTGCCACTTTGACAGCTCCCGATTCTGTACGCGGCCAACAGCAGCGAGTGATGTTACGCCTAAAACATGTCTGAGAGACCTTCACCGATGTCCGCACGGCATTGTTTGACTTTTAACAGCCACCACTGGCAATATTTGGCAGCAGTAGATGGATGGCAGAGACTAACGTGCCTCCTCTGAATTCCCGGCCGCTGCGTGTGACGGTGTTGGTGTGGTACGGGCACCTGCGTCTCAGTAACAAGTCCTCTCCGCTCCGCGCGTGCGTGTACGACGGTGCAGGTGGTGGAGTGGTACGAATATCTGCATCTCAGTAACAAGTCGTTGGGCGAGGAGGACGTCCTCAGGGAACTGCCCGTGACGCTGCGCGCCGCCATCGCCATCAACGTGCACATGCAGACGCTGCAGAAGGTGGAGATCTTCAAGAACTGCGAACTGGGCCTGCTGGAGGAGCTCGTGCTGAAGCTACGACCCAAGCTGTACAGCCCCGGCGACTACGTTTGCCGCAAGGGCGACATCGGCCGGGAGATGTACTTCATTAAGGAGGGCAAGCTGGCGGTGGTGGCCGACGACGGAGTGACGCAGTATGCCGTGCTGGGGGACGGCAGCTACTTCGGGGAGATCAGCATCCTCAAGATACCCGGTGGGTCACTGGCAGAGTCACAGACACTGGCGGGCAGTGGCTCCTCTTACTCGGCATTAAGCGAGAGACGCACGGTAAAGTAATTGTGAGTATTGCTGTGTACACCATGGGACTTGCTCTGTACACCTTGGACTTTCCGTGTAGACCATGAGGCCTGATGGGAATTACATCTAAGAATAAATATTTTATGGTGACCACTTTTTTAATTGGCGTCGGCATAGTGACACTGACGGTGGCTATCGAGGAGCAGGCAAACCCCTGCAATAGTTAAAAGATATCAATTGTGAAATAAATAAATGCATCTTAACTAAAAGTAAAAATTGTAAAATGTTGTTGGCACATTGCACAGCGAGAGAGGTTTAGTTCTCATGAGGAGCGGCAATGATCCGCGTCACCCTGCTGGGCCCAGCAGCCTTTACCACGACATCCTTATCGCCTCGCCGCACTCACCTATTCAACTTTTAAGCTGTTTTTTATTTTACCAGGTAAGGTCCCATTGAGCTATGAAACTCTGTTTTCAGAAGCGACCTGGATACAAATGATAGCTCCACGAAGTGCCTTATCAAGTGAACATTTAAAGCAGCCAAATACTATAAACGTGATGTTGATTCCAAATGTGGATGGAAAAACTGGAGTACCCACAGAAACATCTACGCTACCACAGAGAGAGAGAGAGACACGTACACTCAAAATATCCAGGTGTCAGGGTTGGGATCGAACCCATAACCTCCTGTACACCAGGCGGGGGAGTTAAATCTCGCCACCGTGACTGGGTGGAGTGGTCATGCAGCGGTTAACTGGCAACACTGGTGACGATTAATCTGAGCCGGTCCTGGGCTTCCTCCAGGTCGACTCAGCCTCAAATGAGTACGCGGTGTGATGTATAAACATCGGCGCTAGGGAAATGTTAGGCCAGCGGTGGCCCAAGATCAATCGCTGTTCGAGCAACGTTTGATTGTTCACTTGGTGGCAAATACTGAAGTTGGTCCAGTGCAGTCCCCCTTGATATATTTTTTACTTTCCGTAAAAAAATTCCCGGAACGGCTTTCTGGATTGTTCCGGCCCAAAGCGACGTAGCGATAGCGTGTCGCCGTGACGCTCCCCGCCCTCTCTCCCTGCCCAACGCCGGCGGCGGTAGGCAGCAAGGCCGGGAACCGGCGCACGGCCAACATCCGCAGCATCGGCTACTCGGACCTCTTCCGCCTGTCCAAGGAGGACCTGCAGGAGGTGCTGCGAGAGTTCCCGGCGGCGGGCAACATGCTGGAGGAGAAGGGGAAGCAGATCCTGGCCAAGATGGGCCTCCTGGACACCGAGATGGAGGGAGCACGCGCCGAGCCACAACAGCTGGAGCGCACGGTGACCAGACGGAGCCTCCCACTCTGAAACCCTCCTCTCTCATTCATGCATCTCCCCCCTCCCCCCCCCCCCTATATCTAACCCAGCTGGAGCCTCCCGTGAGCCACGTGACACCGCCCCCGCTGTGCGTGCGTGCAGGTGGAGACGCTGGACGGGGCGGTGCGTGCCCTGCAGACTAAGGTTGCGCGCCTGCTGGCCGAGCACAAGTCCGGCGACAAGAAGATACGCACGCGTCTACGCCGCCTGGAGCGCGTGTTCACCACAGCAGCAGCAGCCGGTGATGACCACAACGATGCGGAGGCCACGGGGAGCGGCGACGCGTGAAGTCCAACCTCATCTCTCTCTCTCTTGTCGTCGTTGTCGTCACCGTCTCTAAGCCACGGCCTGCGTTACCACCTTCTTGGGCGGCCTTCCGCACCCAGCCCGTGTCAGGGGTCCCAGTGGCAGAAGGGCATCCGTGGGGGCCACGCCTGGCCGGTGGTCCAGAGCCTCGCCGCAGAGATTCTCTCCCCCCCCCGCCCTCATTTAGCCCCGTGGTTCTTGTTGACCTGCGGTTCATCACGCAACCCCTGGGGGTGCGAGAGGTCCTTTGCATGGGTGCGAGACATGGCCAGGTTTTTGTAAGAAAGTAAATAATCGAAAACACAAATTAAGCATGGGCACATAATTACAACAACTTTCATTAGACCTCCTTTGCCAGTACCAAAATATAATATGGTTAATGCACACATGATTCCTTGTAAAAAGGTTTCAGTTTTGTTGCCCGAAAAAAGGGGAAAAACCCCTACTATTACAACTACTTTGTGTCAACAAACCCTCCGTGTTGATTAAGATTCTACATTTCTTTAGGAATGAGAACCAAAGCGGGTGCAGGCTGCAGTAGAGGTGAGGAGCCGCTGGTCTAGAGGACTCATCTCCACACGATGAGCTGCTTTGCAGAGCTATCATTTGTGGCCATGTCGCTTCTGAAAAATAATCTCATGGGTCAGTAGAATTTACCTGTTCAAATATCAATGAATGATGTCGTTGTATTTGTATATATTTTAATTTGTTTACCTTTCCTACACTTTGCACTCCTATAATGTTTTCGTAATGTTTGTTGTAACGTTCCGACCCTGTGCCCCTCCTGGACATCTGTGAAAAGAGCTTGATAGCTCATCGGATTCCTCCTGCAGGACAAATAAATATGCTGAGTCTGAAACGCCGCTGAAATTCGTGCACCGAATGAGTTTTACGTAACGGGGCGTTGCAGAGAGAAGAGAGGCAGACGACGCGATTGGTGTCGCTTTCTCATCGCGTCGCTCTCGTGGATCTCGTCGCGCGAGAGACGAATCGTCGACAGGCGACTCGTGAAGCTACAAACAGTCTGCAGGTGGCGCTTCACCACCACCACACACTCGGAGCTCTGTTCACATCGCCGCAACCACCACCGCGACTCTGGTGAAGCAGGAATCGGCTTTACCTTTTAAAGCACCAGAGGTGGGAGGCGTCCGGCCCGCGAAATCATTTGGTGTGGCCCTGCCAAGGCAACCGCAGGCGGGACTCGAAATTCAATCAATCTCGGAGCAAACCTGGACAAGCAGCTGCGAGTAGCAACTTTAAAGCGACAATGGAGGAGGAGGCCAGTTAAACACCACGTAGAAGGCATTCGCCACCAATATTATCCTTGATAAAGGGTTTTTTTGGGTTTTATCTCATAAATATAAATGTGTCGTTAACCCACCACCACCCGACGCAGCCAATCAGTAAGGGGCCGTCCATAAATGACGTCACGCACCTGGGGGGGGGGGGGTCAGACATTTGTGACGATGTGTGACGAGGAGGGGAGGGGTTTGAGAAATGTGACGTCACATCAAAATGCGCAACTTTAAATAAATATAAACAATAGAATTGTTATAACACTCATTTTTATTAATTTTCATTATTAACTATTTTATTATTTAAATTTACTAAGGTCACCTTTTATTTATATCATGAAGGAGCATTTTGCTTCTCCATCGGAGAATGGAGAAGCATACCTTTTATATATTTTTTGAATGATTGTTATTAAACATTTGGATTTTAATGATTCTACCAGGGCTTTTCATCCTTTAGAATGAATGTTATTGTTATAATTACTTTTAATATTTTATAATTATAAGAGAATTTCAATATAATATTCTGAACATCTGCAGTTTTAGTCGTTGAATATTTTCAAGTAAATCTTATGGTAAATTTCAGCTTTCCAACGCCTTTTTGAAAAATGTTTTCTCCTACAACATCAGAGTGCAGCACCACACTAAATACGCACTACAATGACAATAGTTTAAAGCGATTTGAAGCATGTTTTATTTTTAAAATGGAAAATGGTTTTGGGGTGGTGGCAGAGTTTTGTGACATCATATTTGAGGGGGGTCTGACTTTTTGTGACGCGGTGTGACGACGGGGGGAGGGAGGGTCAAAAATCGGCCAAAATCGCGTGACGTCATTTATGGACGCCCCACAGACACGCATCGCTCACAGACACGCACCGCACGCAGACACGGACCACACACAGACACGCACCACACGCAGTCATCCCCCACACACAGTCCCGCACCACACACAGACACGCACACATACATACATGCGCACCACTTATAGACACACACACTGCTCACAAACACGCACAACAACAACAACCGCCATTCGCCACTAAGTGGCGGTGACGTCACCACGACGCTTGTGCCAGGCCATGTGCACCTTGAGGCCACGTGAAGTGTCGAACGCCCGCTGGCAGGAGGTCACGGGGCAGACCCAGGTGCCACGGGTCGACTGACTGAGATGACCGAGATGACTGGCTGATGTACCACCTGTGCCCCCTACTGTGCCAACTCGCTGTGCCTTAGCCACCCGGCGCTCCACTCCTTGTGAGCATCGCTCCTCCGCCCTCCATTGTTGTTGGAGGGCGACTGCCTCCAACTGCCCAGTAGCGTCCTTCGCGAGCCTCTTCCACAGAGACCGATCTTGACACCGCTGGTACCGGTCATCGGCAAGTCCACTCAGCTCCACGTCCTCCTGTACCACATCACTCCATATCTTCTCTAGCCCGTGCCGCGCCCGTTTAGCCTTCTCGATCCGGCCGAACAAAAGCTGTTTAGGCATGCAGTGGCTGGGCATGCGGGCGACATGACCCAGCCAATGCAGCCTTGCCTGCCGGAGGAGCTTACCGATGGGACTTTGTCCAGATCTTTCGAGGATGTGTGAGCTCCTCACACAATCCAGCCTGGTTAAACCCAGGATTGATCGTAGGCAGGCCAGCCTAAATGTTTCTAACCGGCGAAGATGTTCCATTAGGGGGGTCCACGTTTCGCAAGCGTAGAGAAGGGAGGGAATGACTGTGGCCAATAAGACCTGAACCTTCGTGCGGAGCGACAGACCAGGTATCTTCCACACAGTGTTAAGCGACCGATGAAAACATAATGCTGCTCGTTTTAGTGGGGCTGATGGTAAGGCCCCACCTCTTAGTGGCACACTCTAGTTTCAGCAGCAGCACCTCCAACTCCTCCTCTGAGTGAGCCGCAATTACCAGGTCGTCGGCATACATAACGTGGTTGACCAATAGGGAGCCATCCCTTGACCGCACCTGGGCATCGATCAGCCTCCCATTGTATCTGTACCAGATGGAAATTCCTCCGGTACAGCTACTGAAGGCTTCACGAACTACGTGGTTAAAATATATTTTAAATAATGTTGGAGCTAGAGGACATCCCTGTCGCACCCCAAGGTGTACAGGGAATGGCTCTGACTCCCGGCCACGTAGTTTTACCCAGGCCCGCTCACCATCATGAAGATCCTTAGTGAGCGTGAGCAGAGGGTCAGGGACTCTGAAATCACGAAGAACAACCCAGAGCCGAGGCCTACTGATGGTATCATAGGACTTGACCAGGTCAATAAAGCAGAGATGCAGGTCTTGTTGGAATTCCCTATACCTCTGCTGTAGCAGACGGACAGAAAATATGGCATCTGTGCAGGACCGCCCTTTCCTGAAACCGCATTGGGGCTCCGCAAGCCTCTCCTCAGCGTGCCTAGCAAGGCGATGTTGAATAATCTTCGCCAGGACCTTTCCCGGCACACTGAGGAGTGAGATGCCCCTGTAGTTGTTACAGTCTGTGCGGTCCCCCTTCTTAAAGAGGGGGACCACCAGGGCGTCCTTCCAATCTTGCACATCACACACAGACGCACGCACACGGACAAGCACACGGACACGCACCACTCAAAGACACGCATGCATAAAGACACACGCACCGCTTATAGACACACACACCGCTTACAAACACAGCCACCGCTGCTGACCGTGAGCAGGAAGACAGTCTGGCCTGCCACCGCTGCCGAGCTGGGGCCACGGTTCATTCCGCGTGGCCATTGCCTCGTCTCGGAGGGCCCTCGGGTCCCTCCCAGCGAGTTTGGAATTCCGGTGGGGCAAGAACGCGCACAGACATGTGCCGCACACGGACACGCACGCGGACACGCACACACTCACCACAGACGGACACGTACGCACACAGCGACGCACACAGACACGTACGCACACAGACACGCACACAGACACGCACACAGACACGTACGCACACAGACGCGCACACAGACACGTATGCACACAGACACGTACGCACACAGGCACGCACACACACAGACACGCACACACACAGACACGTACGCACATAGACACACACACACGCACCACACACACACGTACGTACACAGACACACACACGTACGCACACAGACACGCACCACACACAGACACGCACATATAGACACGCACACACATACACACGTACGCACACAGATACGCACCCCTGGGCGTTGTGAGCGCTCTGGGCGGGCACGCGGTAGGCGTGCGTGCGCCTGTTCCTGCTGGCGCTGCTCCGCGCGTTGCTGCCAACTCCTGGCCCAAATCCTCATCAGGCACGCGCCGCCTCCGGCACGTCTCCCCAACGTTGGCCCAATTGTTCCAACCACAACGTTGACCCTACGTTAACTCGTTTAACTGGGTCGTTCACGATTCTGAAGTGCCGTGGTATTATCGCGTGTGTGTATCTATGAATGTTGAACTTCTCTCGCACCGTACTTTGCCAACCGTGCTAATCGGAGGTGCGGGTGAAGGACAAGAAACGAAACCGTTACGACGATGATGATGCTGGTAATGTCATGTACCGTATACAGCAGGCATGTCCAAAGTCCGGCCCGCGGTCAGATTTCATACGGCCCGCAGCTTCAGTCTTATAATGTGTTATTTATGGCTCGCTAGCTCTGTCAGAATAAAAAAATTATAAAACTTTAAAGATGTAATTCCTCCTTCCGCCACACGGTGGCAGCACCATTCTAATGCTCTCTGGCTCTGTATCCGTGCCGCGAACCCTTCTCGAATCATTTCTGCCATGGCGACTGCAAAAAAAAAAGAGAAAAGTTGACAGTGAGGGCCGCCGCTTTCAGGAGCGGTGGGAATTACAATACTTCTTCACTGGAAATCGAGAAAATTGTGTTTGCCTAATTTGTTTAAGGATTTCAACGTAAAGAGACACTCCGAGACTAAACATGCTACAACATCCGACAAGCTAATAGGGAGTGACCGCGCTGAAAAAGTGAAGCAACTCCGTGCTGCTCTGGCATCGCAACAGCGATTCTTCACGCCAGCCTGTGAGTCAAAGGAAAACATCACCAAAGCCAGCTACGATGTGGCCATGTTAATAGCTAAACATGGCAAACCTTTTACTGAAGGTGCATTTATCAAAGACGGTGTCATGAAAATGGTGGAGAACATTTGCCCCGAGAAGAAGCAAGAATGTATGAATGTTTACCTGGCACGCAACACTGTGGCATGGAGAGTTGAGGACATATCGTCAGATTTTCAGAGACAACTGGGGGACATGGGAGTGGCTTTTGATTATTTCTCATCAGCCTGCGATGAAAGCACCGATGCATCTGACACTGCACAACTACTTATTTTTTTTAAGAGGAGTTGATGACAACATGAACGTGACAGAGGAGCTGCTTGACCTCAAAAGCCTTAAAGGGAAAACCAGAGGAACAGATGTATTCGTTTCTGATTGTGAAGCTGTTGATGATATGATACTACCATGGAGTAAAGTTTCTGGGATCATTACCGATGGTGCGCCTGCCATGGCTGGTGAGCAAAGTGGATTGTCCACACTGATCTGCAATAAAGTCAGCGAAGAAGCAGGCAACGCTATTAAACTTCACTGTATCATTCACCAGCAGGCTCTCTGCGCCAAACATCTCAAATATGACGATGTTATGAAACCAGTGACAAAGGCAATCAATTCTTTTCGCTCTAAAGCTCTATACCACTGACAGTTTCAGCAGTTCTTGCGTGACATCCAGGCTGAATACGGTGACGTAATATATCACAACGATGTGAGGTGGCTAAGTAGGGGGTCCGCACTGCAGCGATTTTTCTCTCTCAAAGAGGAAATTGGACATTTTTTGGGTGAGAAGGGACAACCAATGGAAGAACTGTCTGATCCTGTATGGCTGGCAAATCTGTCTTTTTTGGTTGACATAACGAAGCATCTGAATGCGCTGAATGTTAATCTTCAAGGGAAAGCTGCAGTGGTGAGCCAGCTATATGCTCACATCAAGGCCTTTGGAGCCAAACTGCAACTTTTCCAAAGACACTTGTCCCAAACAGAGCCCTGCCCCGCGCACTTCCCAGCTTTGAAAGAGGTCATTGACAGTTTCCCACAGGACAACATCGGTGCGC